GTCATGACCTTCTCTTAAAATATGTCCTGTTGCTGGGATTCGAGGTGAGGTGAGGTGAAATTGGGTTTAACGTCGTGCTTGAGAATATTTCGCTCATATGACGACGTGCATGCGTGTGTATGTGTATGTGCGGCTGCATGTACTAGCCCAGACAGAAGTTGGTTTTATAGTGCCAGCCCACTGAGATACCATGCCGCAGTGAAGCATGAATACCCCACTCAGACACATTATACTGACTCTGAGCCCACCAGTCCTTGTTGTACCCATTAATGCCGAGCGCCAGGCAGGGACCAACAAGTACCATATTTTAACGTCTTTTGGCATGACGCGGTCGGGGATCGAACCCGCGACCTTCCGCTCTCCGGGCGGACGCTCTAACCACTACACCACGGAGGCGTTTGCTGGGATTCGAACCCTCTGCATCGCAGAACATTTAACTTCTGTATCTCAACTATAGCTTCAACTGTAGCTATATAAACAGTAAGTAAATATTTCTAAATCGTACTTGAGACTGTTAAAATATTTACTTATTACCTTACCTGATACATGAATGTTTCTGAATGGATGAAACCCGTTTAATTATTTTCCGTGTAACCAGTCTTTTTTCAAGACCAAATCGATTTTCAGGTTTAGTGTAGTTTCAAATATGTTATTCGCCATCAATCTTAAAGGTCACATGCAACGTAAAACACAACTTTGCAGATTCTGATACCTTTCGGTATGGACTTACCGAAACAAAGTGTCAAAAATGCAAAATCAACTTATAAAGTTGAAAAATAACGCGATGAAAAAAAACGCGCGAAATCGGAGTTCAAACGTTTCACTAATTTTCTCCAGACTTTTCTGGGGAATACGGGTTTCAACAGCTGGGCTGCGCTCATAGCACGTGCGCAGTGAAATAGGTTCGCGCAACTTGGAAGCGGGCTGTCTGGTGAATACTCGGTGAAGGCTTTGGTGTTAGCTATTTTCATAATGTTTTGTTGATATCTCACAGGCGCGAGCTTTTTATATGTTATGACAGTAAATAAACTGTTTATATAATTTCATTTGTCTATTTCACCACACGTTCTTCTTACCGAGAAACTTTCTCAGTTCGATACTTAAAAGCAATGTCATTATTTAGCGTTGACACAATTTCTAACTGTGATATAGATATGTCGCTGTCACAGGCAAAACTCAATGTCTTGTTTTATTGACACCTGTGTGTCTGCCTGCCTGTCTGCTAATGACAATATTCAATACACAACTGCGATCACTGACCACATGCAATTTGAACTTAACACCAATCAGGCTATACACCATAAACAAAACGCATTGATTTATGGCCCGAGTTCGGTCTCTGTCACATTATGTAATTACACAGACAGGCAGGTGTGATACTTGAACACATGACATGTTATGATGTATGTTGATTGCAAAATGTTATACACAAAAAAATGAGCATGTATTTACAAAACCCAACATCTCTATATATACACACACAATGAGCCGTGAAGGCGGCATCTGCTAATGAACCAGCCGTTACACTTGAGTGCACACCCACCCGCTCTGACTGGGCTCGGTATCCCGGCTGCTTCGTTTCGAGGGAGGTAAACCCAAGTACAAAATATTGCACTTTTGATTTGCGATTATACGCTTACAATTTTGCTTATTTGTTTTTTCATAATCAGCAATGCATATTATATGTCATGAAGAAGTGATGATTGTGTTTTAATTATGTTTGATTTTTTGGTTGCATGTGACCTTTAAAGCAAATATCGCAGTTCAAATAATCTACTAATGTCCTTTCAAAGGTTGAAAACAAAACAAATGAATTTTGTTACGTTAAAACAAACGATTTGAAAAAAATACGCAATTTTCCAAACCTTTTAACACTGGTGTATTAGTCAAGCTGCCATTTGAGGCCTCGAAGAATGCTTTTGCATAGCGTGTTATAAAGTTCGCGTTGTGGATAAAGGGAGGTAACTCCAATTTAGAAAAACACTGACAGCAGACGATATTTTTAATATTGAACACACACAGACGCGATCTAATCCCTTCTTAAACGGATGGGGTTTTTTATTGTAAAACGTGTCATTCCTTTTTTCCCGTAAATTTCTTCCCCATTAGTTGTAATGGTTTAGGCCAACATTTACAAATCGCCATGCTATATTCATCAGCTGAAACAAAAAAAAAGGTGTACAACTTCAATAGCTTGGCTGGGATGTTTTGAAACATGTTTTAGGGATTGTCCATTTTATTAGGATACTATATCTTCAATTTATATGGATGAATACCATGGACACCTTCATAATCCATGTTTGTTGCAGAAGTAATGCCACTATCTCAGTTTCTCTTATTCTGATGAGTAGTCAGTCAATGGACATCGAACGAAGGTCTAGTAAAATCACTACAGTGTTTTAATGCATTTTAGTTTGTGGGATGTTCAATGTCTTATATTGATTTCATTTGCTGCATTTCAACAGAATGATGCAGTTGAAGGGGATTTTGTTGCAAGAGGGACTCCAGTTAGAATGGCTCCCCAGCAACCTATGCCAATTGTAAAGGATCGGATGGTTTGACGCTGTGACCTACCTGGTCATCATACTCCTTTGTTCATAACATCAACCACAGGTTTGTCTCATCCAAACTTAATAATAATAATAATAATAAGTGCATTTATATTGCGCTATTTTCCATTGGTATCAAGGATAGTACTTGGAGAAGAGATGGGTTTTAAGTTTGGACTTGAAGACAGCTAAAGATGGGGAGGTTTTGATATCAAAAGGAAGACAGTTCCATAGAGAAGGAGCACAGAATGAGAATGATCTCTGGCCGAAGGATTTGAGATTGGTCCTGGGGATGGTAAATGAAAGTTGATCATTGGATCTCAGGTTTTGCATGAAGTATATTTCTGGAGAGGTTCTCTCAGACATCCTGGTGCAACATCATGGTAACAGCTGTAGGTCAGGGATAACACTTTGAACTCGATTCTAGCTTGTACTGGGAGCCAGTGGAGATTCATCAATATTGGTGTTACATTGGATGTTTTCTTGCAGCGATGAATTAGCCGAGCTGATTTAGTTCCCTCTCACAACCAACAGAAATTGCTGGGTACCTACCAATACTCTAACATGGAATCAGATGCTTCCTTTGTGTGGTGGATAGGGCACCTGCCCTAAGAGACCGTCAATGGTTAAATCTGTGCTGCACCATACAAAAAGGCAATAAAATATGGTACTTTTTGTCACCATGCCTGTCCAGCTCAGAGGCGGTATGCTGGCTCAGCAGGTTACCCATGTTAAACTCTGGCATGGCACCACAGTGGGTTATCTCGGTCTGCAAATAATCGAGTCTGGACCAGAAAATCCAGTGATCAACAGCATGAGCAGACATGGGGTAATTGTCATTTGTAATTGTAATTGAATGTAATTAATTACAAAAATCTATGTAATTGCATGTAATTTGTAATTGAATGTAATTGAAAGTAATTTGTAATGTAATTAATTACATTAGTAATGTAATTGTAATTTAATTAATTACATTTTAATTTAAGGTGTAATTGTAATTGTAATTGAAGAAAATCAAAGTAATTGTAATTTAATTAATTACATTTCAAAGTAACTGAACCCATGTCTGAGCATGAGCATCAATCTACGCAATTGTGATATCATGACATGTGTCAACCAAGTCAGCGAGCCTGACCACTCGATCCTGTTAGTCATTAGTCCAACAGGAACACAGGAGGTCTCACACTAATACACAACACAGTATATGTATGGTAGAAGATAGTTTATTGTTGATATTCGAATATATACACCAACTACTTCAACCAATCAGGCTTCTTACAAAATATCCTATTATCCTTCCATCCCATGCATTCTTACATACTTAAATAACAGTAATATAAACATACATCCATACATACATTCAACAAAAGAACAATATGAACAGGAATATTGTGATATGGTATACCAGATCAAGCCAGGAAATAAATAATTTCATCAACACAGTCCAGTGTCCAAGGAGGAGTCCAGAGTAGAGGTGTAACGATACGATGAGGCTGTGATACGATATGTATCCTCATAATGTGGGTGCAATACATTTCATATCCATTAACAGTGCATGTATTTCATTAGGTCATATTCCCTCCCTTTTGGAAAATCAATAACAACCATGAATCATTTGTTTTCAAATTAAAGATAGCCAAGATGGGATATTGTATCCCAGAAACATATAGGCTTTGGGGGCACTGTGCAGTTTCTACTAGAGAATCTGCATCAATTGGTTCTTGAACAGTGTCATTTTTCACATGTTTTTACATCAATAAAACTTGCCACGCAAAATGAAGTGTATGTATTGTGACACAGAAGTTGTTAATCGATGGATTTTATCGTGAGCCACGTATCGATGTATTGTGTATTGTGAGAAACATATCAATGTATTGTATCGTGAGCCACGTATCACGATACAATACTGTATTGCTGTATCATTACACCACTAGTCAAGAGACTTCAGTCCATCTTTGAAAGAAAGTTGTATTTTACCACTTTCAGCAAAATCTATGATCTTAACACATCATGCCTATGAGCTATGAGAAATTACTACCTTAATATGTTCACTTCTAGAGCTTAACACTTTAAAATAAACATCATGATGTTAATAATATGTCATTTTTGAACAAAAAAAAAAAGAAGAAAAAAGTTAAATAAATAATTCTTGATCTTCATGCTAAAATACATAATGTGAAGTAAATTCTGCTTGAAGACACCAAATATGTCAAATTTTCATCCATGAAAAGAAAAGTCTGACAAAATCTATAATTGGAACATCATTGCCTGATAATTGATGTTTTGTATCAACATAACATGTTCCTCATCAGTATGAGTGGTTAACAATGCTATATTCCCAAAGAACCTTCAGACTGCCACATACACAAAGGCCCTGCATTTAGATACAGGTAGATAGTTACTCCCTACATATAGACACAGTATAGACATACAGGTAGATACAGGTAGATCCCTGCATTTAGATACAGGTAGATAGTTACTCCCTACATACAGATACAGTTAGACCTTACAGGTAAAAACAGGTGGTCCCTAGAGTAGACACAGTAAAGATCTACAGGTAGATACCCTATATTTAGATACAGGTAGATAGTTACTCCCTACATACAGATACAGTTAGACCTTACAGGTAAAAACAGGTGGTCCCTAGGGTTAGACACAGTAAAGACCTACAGGTAGACCCTATATTTAGATACAGGTAGATAGTTACTCCCTACATACAAATACAGTTAGACCTTACAGGTAAAAACAGGTGGTCCCTAGGGTTAGACATAGTAAAGACTCAGGTAGAGGTAGACCCTATATTTAGATACAGGTAGATAGTTATACAGATACAGTTAGGACCTTACAGGTAAAAACAGGTGGTCCCTAGGGTTAGACACAGTAAAGATCTACAGGTAGATACAGGTAGATCCTACATTTAGATTCAGGTAGATAAATACCCTACATACAGATACAGTTAGACCTTACAGGTAAAAACAGGTGGTTCCTAGGGTTAGACACAGTGAAGACCCAGGTAGACCCTATATTTAGAAACAGGTAGATAGTTACTCCTACATACAGATACAAGACCTTACAGGTAAAAACAGGTGGTCCCTAGGGTTAGACACAGTAAAGACCTACAGGTAGACCCTATATTTAGATACAGGTAGATAGTTACTCCTACATACAGATACAGTTAGACCTTATAGGTAAAAACAGGTGGTCCCTAGGGTTAGACACAGTAAAGACCTACAGGTAGATACAGGTAGACCCTATATTTAGATCCAGGAAGATAGTTACTCCCTACATACAGATACAGTTAGACCTTACAGGTAAAACAGGTGGAGATCCTACATTTAGATTCAGTTAGATAAATACCCCTACATACAGAACCTTAGAGGTAAAAACAGGTGGTCCCTAGGGTTGGACACAGTAAAGACCTACAGGTAGACCCTATATTTAGAAACAGGTAGATAGTTACTCCCTACATACAGATACAGTTAGACCTTACAGGTAAAAACAGGTGGTCCCTAGGGTTAGACACAGTAAAGACCTACAGGTAGACCCTATATTTAGATACAGGTAGATAATTACTCCCTACATACAGATACAGTTAGACCTTACAGGTAAAAACAGGTGGTCCCTAGGGTTAGACACAGTAAAGATCTACTGGTAGATACAGGTAGACCCTAAATTTAGATTCAGGTAGATAAATACCCCTACATACAGATACAGTTAGACCTTACAGGTAAAAACAGGTGGTCCCTAGGGTTAGACACAGTAAAGACCTACAGGTAGACCCTATATTTAGATACAGGTAGATAGTTACTCCCTACATACAGATACAGTTAGACCTTACAGGTAAAAACAGGTGGTCCCTAGGGTTAGACACAGTAAAGACCTACAGGTAGATACAGGTAGATCCTACATTTAGATTCAGGTAGATAAATACCCCTACATACAGGCAGAATTACACCTAACAGGTAAAAGAAAGTAGTACCCAATGTTTGACACAGTAGTAGCTTACAAGTAATTACAGGTAGACAAACCAGGTAGATGTTACACGTCGATACAGTTCAGCCCTGCACGTAGATCATACTGGCAGATACATATAGACCACAAAGGTATATACAGGTAGACACAGGTAAATACAGGTAGTCTATCGGTAAAATAACTTGGTCCTACAGGTAACTGGTAGTAGTGTCAACAGAAAGATACAGGTATTCCTTACAAGTTGTAGGTCCTAATGATAGAAAGCAGTGCGTCCTGTTCCTGCAGATAACTACAGCTAGGCCCAAAAGGCAGAAAGAGGTAGTGCCTTCAGGTAGATTGACGTTGACCTTGTACCTACAGGTAAATACAGTTCAGCCCTAAAGGCAGATAGAGGTAGTGCCTTCAGGTGGATAGATGTAAGCCCTGTTTCACAAGGTTGATACAGATACACTATGCAAGGGCTGCTTCCACTAATGCCTCTACAAGAGGCATGGGTGGCCCCATGGTACAAGGAGTCTACACATGATGCTTCCCTTGACCACTGGTCATTGGTTTGATCCCTAGTTTGGTCTTTCTAAAACCTGCTCCACTCTGGGCTTTCTCCCACGTTAAGCTGTAGGCATCACAACTCGTAATCAAGTAGGCACTTGTAGAGGGATGGGCATGTCCAAACAGCCATAAATGAGTTGGTTGGTTGGTTTGCTGTTTTATGCCGCACTCAGCAATATTCCAGCTATATGGCGGCGGTCTGTACATAATCGAGTCTGGACCAGACAATCCAGTGATCAATAGCATGAGCATCGATATACGCAATTGGGATACGATGATGTGTCAACCAAGTCAGCAGATATATCTAGGATAGCATCAAAGCTGGGGAGGTTCCCATCCAAATCATATAAGAGGGGATTACTAATTTTCCTCTCATTAATAAGAGGTGGGTACTTTTACAGATGATGACCTTGAATAAAGTTCTTCCCACATTAACTCATATGTAAACAAAGCTGTGAGATTTATTGCCAAATATTCCTCTTTGAAGCACAAATTGTGACTCGCCTATGAAAATTGTTACTGGTGGATGTTAAACATCAGAGAGATGACTTAAGCATATGTACAGTTATAGTAACATTTCTTTTGTGGTTTGGTTCACATAAATATGTTTAAATAATATCGTCACTTGATTAACTTGATTAGAAAGATTCGGTAGGGCAGATATGGGACTGCTTCTCATGTTCTACACAACAGGATATGCTTGATAGCTTATGGTTTTAATGAAACAACACCTTAAAAAATATATTCTTGTGGGAATATGCAGAAATAGTACATGACTTGGGCCTAGATTTTTCTCTCTGTTTATAGTTGGCATATTGCACTTAGCTATAGGCATTAAGTATGGAACGTCTCACTAACAACTCTCATACATGAAGCCGAAATGATTCAGAACCACACTGGAAGATTAAAAACTCTCAAACAGCCAATTTAACACATTCAATCTGAGATCATGTTGTACCAGTAACTGAGCAATGTGATTGAGCTTACATGCATCTCATGTCACTAATATTTCCATGGTCCTTGACCCCCTGAAATGTCAATTATGCCTGGCTCAGTTATTTTCTTGAATTGCTTTTCTTATTTCCTTGAAACTTGACAGTGAAGAGGTTTCATAAACACATTCGTTTTAATATCATATACATTTTAAGTAACTTGCATTCCTCCTGGGATATTTACAAAGAAAACCAAAACAAGTGGACTTGACCATGTTGACCATTCAAATAGAAATGGTAACAAACTTAGGCTTTGACAACATTAAATAAATTGTTGATTTTTATAAAAGTTATTAGAGTAATCAGCAATTGTTCATAAGTGAGTGAGTGAGTATGGTTTTACGCTGCTTTTAGCAATATTCCAGCAATATCACGGCGGGGGACACCAGAAATGGGCTTCACACATTGTACCCATGTGGGGAATCGAACCCAGGTCTTCGGCGTGACGAGCGAACGCTTTAACCACTAGGCTACCCCACCGCCCCAGCAATTGTTCATAAACAAGAGACATAAAGATATGATAAATTCGGCTGTAATTCAGTCCCTGGTTGTGTTTCATCAAAAATAAATGCATAATGTTTGGGAGTAACCTTGATTAGCTAGCTAAAGTAGACACAACATGTTTGTACAGTGTTGTATTACTGTTTAACAGTTGTACAAAAATGTATACAATTGTACTGGGAGGTATTATGGTACAGTTGTACAATGTTGTTTGAATACAATTGTTGTCCTCTACCGCAAAAGTTGAACAGCTTTGTATAAAGTTGTAGTGTTGCAACATGACAAACATTTGTACAACTGTACAATTATACAACAAACACTTCTTCATGCACATGAATACAACTGTAGAATACAACTGTAGATTTACGCAACAGTTATTTCATGATACTCATCTGCCCAACTGTACAGTTAATACAACTCTGTAATTCCATGGTGTACATTTGTACAGTTCTTGACACACTTTGCAGTGTTCTGGAAGTACAGATTCATCTCATTCAAGAAAACAATAACCCAAGATTTCCTACGAGGATTCCTCCTGTAAACCTAAATCTAACGTTTATTTCCGACCTTCACTATTACACCAGTGCCATAGACTGTGCACTCTATTGTTAGGACTCTCTCTAATGTAATACTGACCAATGGCTATCTTACAAAACACGACCAAAACATACCACTGACTGACTGAGTTTGGTTTTACGCCGCTTTTAGCAATATTCCAGCAACATCACGGCGGGGGACACCAGAAATGGGCTTCACACATTGTACCCATGTGGGGATTCGAACACGGTTCTTCGGCGTGACAAGCCAACGCTTTAACCACAGCGTTATTTAGAAGCTGGTTTCATCTTCATCTGTCCCATCGGAAATTTCAAACATCACTCCTGAGTGTAATCCAATTTGATGGCTATTTTTAGAATCAGATTCAATGAGTGAGCGAGTTTAGTTTTATGCCGATAGCAATATCACAGCAAGGGAGACCAGAAATGGGGTTATCGAGGATGATCAATTAACGAAATAAAGATCCATATGTTCAGGACTTCATATATAGTCAGTGAAAAAGAACTAAACTTTAAGTTGGCAAGGAAGTGCTTGACCTGCTCTGAAGGTCAAGGTCATGGGCAAATGAATTCTTGAAGGAGCCAGCTCCACAAAGTGATGTTAGCATTATGATAGTCCTAACAGTATGGAAGTTACAATGATCTTAGCGCTAAGGTTGCTTTGTGGAACTGACTCCAGGATAAATAACACACCAACTGAGCAAATCTCTTTTCAGCTCGTGAACAAAATAAGCAACACAGTGCTTGTGGAACAAAATATTAAAGGGTCTCAGTACAGACAAGTATCAAACAAGTGAAATAAATTACCTTTTGTTAGCCTGTTTGTTGAGAATCAGATTCCATCACATTCATATTTGTCTTGCAATAATCATAAGTTCCTTTACTGAAATATTGAAATATAAAAATAAATAAACATAATCTCTAAGTCATCCCATAGCCCGTGTTATTCAGCTTGAAACATAATCATAGCAGGCTCCACCGACGTTGATGTTGTCTGGGGTGCGGAAGCCACTGCTGATGATGTTGCTGCAGTCTCAATTGCCTCTGTTGTCGTGAACTGAGCCTGGCCAGCTGCAAGTTGCTGAAAAAGATCAAACAGGTTTGTTTCTCTACCTCTTGACATTTCACAGAATTGACTGGTTTAGTAAAGACGATATCTATTTTCATTATCAGTTCTCTGTGTTGTTGCTTATATGTGGGCATAGAACACTGTTAGTTCGTAATACAGGCACCAGTGCATGTGCCTGGGGAACAAGTGCATGTGTGTTTGTCTTTGTCCCTCTGTGTGTGCACACATGGGCATTTACCCTGGTGTGCATATGCCTGGGTGCACAGGTGTGTGTGTGCGTCTGTGTTACTACGAGGGGCTATCAAAAAGCTTTGAGCCTAAAATACTGATATTTGCATGATAAAAATAACTGTACGATATTGAAGAATGATTTATATCATTCACATAAACATAATACTGACATGCACATGTCGCTAGTTTCCGGTCACGTGACATCTGACACATGTACCCATATTGAAACGACAGAAATGGAACAGCTTGAGTACAGAGCAGTCAAAGTTTTTAGTCCTTGAGGGCCACCCGGTGAAACACATTAAAGAGCAACTGACAGCAGTACAAGTACCCCATGGGACTCAGTACTCATACTGCTGTCAATCGCTCTTCAGTAATGTATTACTATTGCAAGTGTTTCTCACGTTCCAGAATTATACCAGCTGGAACAAGAGCACTTGTGGCACTAAAAACAACAATAATCAAAACTATATAAAAATACCTGCAAACTTGCATGTATGGCCTCCAGCTGACTAGGGTCTGTGACAACAAGCACCTGTTGACCCTGGTCACCCACGGTGATGCTCGCAATGCCCTGAGCTTGTTGTAACTGCTGCAGTGCAACCTGGCTCGGCGCATGCAGCGTCACCATCCCCATCCCTCCTGCATCTTCAACCACACCTTCAGCAGATACCATTGCAACCTTAAAGAAGAAAAATCAAAGCATCACTATAACTATTCATGATTCTATGGTCATCAGCCGAATGATGTTTTCCTGATGACTAATATGATTATGAGGTCATCATGCTACAAGATCTATTGAAACAAGAAAGAACAGAGTACGGACCGTTCATAATTTATGGCTAGGGGGTGTGTGGGTGTGTGATGATGATTTTTATGGAGAAGCATGTACAATGTGAATGACACCCCCTAAAATGTATGTACAAAATAAGTAACCCCCCTCCAGCATGTCATGTACAAAATCAATTACACCCCCTCCCCTTCCCATAATTTCTAAGCATAATGTTAAACACATTTTTATGTAAAAAAACTGCCGAACCCCCATACGAGTGTACAAAATTGCTGACCACCCCCAGCTCCCAAGAACAAAATGGGTGACAACCCCCAAAAAAAAATCATCATCACCCCCAGCCATTTATTATGAGCGGTCCCTAATTTATTTGAATTTTTTAATGTCAAAACAAAACTATGGCAGCAAATGGGTCCAAGGTCTAGATAGCAATGGAATGGAGATATATTGCACTAGACAATGCCAACACTTCAGCAAAAAAGGTTCCACAAAATGCTACTGTGGTGACCAACCTGTTGAGGTTCCGATGTGTTGATAACCAGAGTTCCCTCCCCTTCCTCCTGAGATGTTCCTCCTCCAGCCAGCGTCACCTGTAATCTGGACCTCTTACTGGCAGGCTCCTCCCCTTCTTCACCTGTCCACACAGACAATAACAAATGAAGGGAGGAGAAAGACCTCATCTTGTGATCACTGGAGGTGGAGTTAAGTGTACATTTACTGTCAAACACTGGAAGTGGAGCTAAGTGTTCTTATCATTTGATTGTAAGATGCCACCATACCATGCATCTTGCTGAACATACCCTGAGTCAGTTGCTGTTGCTGCTGCTGCTGAGCAAACAACTGAGCCTCACTCTCAGCTGTGGTGTCCTCACCGTGAGCTGTACGTTTGTGCATTGCCAATGTGGACGTCTGGCGGTACGTTTTCCCGCAGTGGTTGCAGATGTAGGGCTTGGAGTGTGTGTGCACCACGTGATGTTTGTAAAGGCTTGAGTACTCAGTGAAGCGCTTATTGCAGCCTTGGACTGTACACACATACGGCTTCTCACCTGCAAGGAAATCATCAGCATGGGATATTCATTGTTGTTTGGGTTATACAGTGAGTGAGTGAGTTGTGTTTTATGCGGCTTTTAGCAATATTCTAGCAATATCATGACAGGGAACACCAGAAATATGAAAACAGCAGGTGGTCATTAATGTTTTTTACCATAGTACACAAGCCATCAAGCATGAAAACAATCCCAACTAAACTCAAGATTGGTTGGTAGGATGGTTTGGTGTTTAAGCCACACTCAACAATATTCCAGCTATATGGCCGCGGGCTGTAAATAATCGAGTCTGAACCAGACAATCCAGTGATCAGCATCATGATCTACAAAACTGGGATATGATGACATGTGTCAACCAAGTCAGCAAGCCTGACCACCAATCCTGTTAGTCGCCTCTTACAACAAGCATGGGTTACTGAAGACCAATTCTAAACCGGATCTTCACGGGTCTCTAAACTAAAGAAAGTATCAATTACATGTCATGTTAATGGCCTTGACCAAAGTTAAAGTATGGACAATGTACCTGTGTGGATTCGGACATGGTTCTTGTAGTTGGTTGCGCTGGCAAAGGCCCGCCCACATCCATCCACCTGGCACACGTATGGACGCTCACCAGTGTGGGTACGGATATGAACTTTGCGAATGTTGGACGTTGTAAAAGATCTATCACATCCCTCAAAGGGACATTTGAACGGCCTCTCTCCTGAAACCATCAGAATCAGACAATAAAACATTTCTGTTTAATAAAAGTTCAAACAAAAAAATCACATAAAGCAAAAACTGAGTAAAGCTGAAACTCCAAAATGAATAGTGACACATCATTTTTAGTAAGCTAACAAAACTATGTAAGTAGCATGAGTGATATTCTGTGAAACCTGTGCAAGAACCTGTAATGAAATGTTAACAAAGGTGCCCATGTTGTCAGTATTGGATCCAGATTATCTAAGTATTCTCCCAGGACAGAGTTGTAGCGATTACATGTCAGCATTATTACCCAATATATTTCACAGACAAAATGCTGCATTGTCAATTTTATGAGGGTTCAGGAACAAAGCTCATGAAGGGTCAAAGAAACAAATAATCAGTAATTTTAGGCTGAGAATGTCAAAGTAAAAATGTTCCATAAATGTAGGTGTCAGCAAAATGTGATCGTCCTGAGTCTCAGTCCTACCCTATCCCCCACCCCTTATGATATATTACCAGTCTGTTATTTTCCATAAACAAACCAACTGAAATGAGCTGCTGACAAGTTACATTTTACAAACAGTGTCTACCCATGTTCAATATCCTGCTTGCATATTTTCAGGTATGTTCATGACAGGTGGACAGATGATCGAACAAATTGTCTTTCAGACTCCAACAAATTCAGTCCCAAAAATAAAAATATAGTTTCGAGTCTACAATTTCATATTTTTTTTTACACAGAATCTGGTCATTTTAATAATTATCGAAAAAGAGCGTTTAACCAATTTTTAAGAAATCAGATTTGAACTTGCTGCTGACCTGTATGAGTGCGGACATGTTTCTGGAGATCGCCGGACGTCTTGAATGCTTTATCACAGTTGTCTTCTGGACATTTGTAGGGCTTCTCCCCTGTGTGTACACGTGTGTGACTCTTGAGGCCATACCCTGTAGCAAACGCCTTGCCACACGTCAGGAACTCACACTTGAATGGCCGGTCCCCAGTATGAGATCGCTCATGAACCTTTCAAAAGAAGGAAAGCAACAATCAAATACTATTAATTTCAATCTAAAAATGTAAAATATTTATCAGAATTGTAGTTGAAGCATGAACTCATGAGCTAAAAATACATGATGAAAATGGATCTCCTGATTAGAATATTATTTGAAGCTGTGCTTTCTGCAATATTCCAGCCATGTAACATCAGCCCACATCTGGACCAGAAAATCTGGTAACTGATATGAGCAATGATCCATATCATAAGGGTACTCTGACATGCAATCAACCAGGTCACAAGTCTGACAAACTGATCCTTAATGTTTCGTCTGACAACCCGATCCACTATGTCTCGTCTGACAACCCGATCAATTATGTCTCATCCATCAACCCAATCAATTATGTCTCGTCTGACAACCCTATCCATTGTCTCGTCTGACAACCCGATCCATTATGTCTCGTCAGTCAACCCGATCCATTATGTCTCGTCTGACAACCCAATCCTTTCAGTCACGTCTCACAACCCGATCCTTTATGTCTCATTTGTCAACCCGATCCACTATGTCTCCCCTTACAACTCGTCCATTCTTACCTGGAATCTTAACTGGAAGTCTCACCTTGAGATGATGTAGTGTTGTATAGAGGCGGCCACACCCTTCGTAGGCACACCCATAGGCCTTCTCCCCTATAGCCAATGCCTTTTCTGTGGCAATCCGGTTACAGCCCTGCCCTAGCACAGTCTGAAGAGGAAACTCACTCATGTAAATAAAATATGCATACATATACAGAAGACATTTTCAAAATCTCAAGATATATTATTTTATTAGTAAATATCATTAGCTCTTCAACCCAACCCATCTTGATAACACGAAAGTGTCATACTACTGAATCCTTCTCGATGCCTACCCAAATGAGAACAATTTCAATTTGCATTTTCTTTTTCTTTTATAGATGTGAAATACTCATTGAACACACAAACGAATCATTCGAACCCGTGGCCTTCAGGATGACGAGAGAATGCTTTAACCACTAGGCTACCCCACCGCCCCTTTGTCAAAAGTGAGTGAGCGAGTTTAGTTTTACGCCAAACTCAGCAATATTCCAGCTATATGGCGGCGGTCTGTAAATAATCGTGTCTGGACCAGACAATCCAGTGATCAACAGCATGAGCATCGATCTGTACAATTGGGAACTGATGACGTGTCAACCAAGTCAGTGAGCCTGACCACCCGATCCCGTTAGTCGCCTCTTATGATAAACATGGGTTACTGAAGATCAATTCTAAGATCTTCAAGAAGATCAATTTTGTAAAAGAATTAAAACAAAGAACCTATAACTTTGTGTAACAACCAGTCAACATCAAAATTGTTATTAGGGATAGCACAGAGATACGCATCCTCGATAATCTCCAGGGTATACATTCCGATAAATATCCACTAGTACCCTGGATGCATCTACGGTTTGGCCCAATAACTGTATTACCTCCCTTATCGAAATGTCAATATTTACTGTCAACCGTGTTTTCAAATTAAGATTTTCCAACTCAGATTTGCGATGAAGTTAAATCTTGAACAATATTTACAGATATTAAGCCCCATCCAAATTTAACATTTGAAATGTCTAGACTGAACTTTAACTCACTATAGTGGTAGGATTTGCTGCAGGCTTCTCCTCCTCATGGTTGATGTGAGCATGTGCCTGCTCTGCAGAAACCTGAAACACATACATTTTTCTAATACAAAATGGGACTAAATGTAATGAAATAAAAGGAAATTGATGAAGATCATTTTAGTATGTGTTTTCTGACATATTACGTTTATACATAAGTACTTGGCAGATGGCATGTCTTTATGATAAAGTTATTACGATGTTCTTCTGTTCGTGTGACTATTCAAGAAAATCCTGCATGTTTCTGAAAGCATCTGATCCGCACTGAATTTCACGAGTTTACAACACAATTAACCTGAGCATAAACAGTGGATTTATTGATATGCTATTTAAGATGATGTGAAGATGTGTGATCGCTGGGCTACTTTTTTTTTATGGGAGCCACAGTTTACCCCGCAGTTTAACCGAAACCGCAGTATCGTCAAGGGGATTATGTTTTATAAACTTTAAGAACTTATTCAAACAGATAAATCCGGTTAGAACTAGTCTTCAGCAAACCATTCTTGCTGAAAATAGTTACCAAATGGATTATCAACTTGGCTGAAGTATGTCAGGGCATCCCAAATCCATGTATCAATGGTATTGACGTCAATCACTGAATTGTCTGTACCAAACTCCATTTACAGACCTCTTCATACCACAGTGGACATGGCAACTCAACACATAACCTTGGTACATAAAAGAATCGGGAACCCCCCACACGTGTGATGTCTCTCATATAGCCACAGGTGGCTACGATCATGCCACAATGATCCAGCCAAGTTGGTCAAGGGTTAAAACTGGACTACTAGAGTCAGTCAGTTACCTCCCTTGCCTTGGGAAGAACGAGTGAGTTCAGTTTTATGCCACACTCAACAATACTCCAGCTATATGGTGGTGGTCTGTAAATAATCGAGTCTGGACCAGACAATCCAGTGATCAACAGCATGAGCATTGATCTAAGCAATTGGGATATGATGACATGCGTCAACCAAATCAGTAAGTCTGACCACCCGATCCTGTTAGTTGCCTCTTACGACAAGTATGGGTTACTGAAGATCAGTTCTAACCCGGATCTTCACAGGTCCCCTTGGGAAGATATAGGCAAGGCCTATATTATAAGTTGTTCACTGGTCTCGAGGGGGACATGGGCTGATGTATCCTCAATGTTTGTTTATGTTCTGGAGCCCAAAGGGCGACGGGGAACATAAACAAACATCGAGGGTACATCAACCCATGGGCCCTGAGGGACCAGTGAACAACGTATTTATCTTACCGACCACCTCAATGGTAATTTTGAACTGTTTGAAGCACGGGTATCGGATCATAGTATGGAGTACTAGACGACAAGACAACAAGCAAAAACAAATTTAGAGTTATCTCCCTTCCATCGATATGCATTTGCAAAACATCGGTAATTTCCGTACATCATATGTGATTCCATGTTATTCGAGATAAAGAATAACTACTACGAAGTACCAAATGAGTTTGGCATTCCCAGCGGGGTACAAAATGTTACTCACTTGCAAGCGGGGTACATTGAAAATAATAGAAGAGCGCTCAGCCAATCAGAAAACAACATTTATGTGTGAGGCAAGATAATATGAAATATACCTCTGTTCAACAGCAGTGAACAGGTACTCATAAGACGTGAGGATAACATGAATGTTAACATTTTATCACCTAATAGGCAGCATGCTTGTATACTCTACAGGAAGCTCAGAATGAAAATTGAGTGCACACTCTTCCACTGACTAGGTTAATAATGCTTTAAGGGGTGGCTTTGATGCATTAATAAACACATTTTTCACATAATGTTGTAAGATGTATCTACCTGTGACAAATGTTCAAGACTGAGCGCACTGCCGTCTAGAGTTGCTGCCTCACCAAACAGAGCTTCAGGGTTCGGATGGGCGATATAGGCCGTAGTACCATCCTCAAGTGTGATAGCTTGGAGTCCCTCGGCCACTGGGAAGAGGAAGAGTCACATTATTGAAATTCACTAGAAAAATTCCTTAACAAATTATCAAAGTTCCCTGTTCTTTGTACTAAATGAGCTACTCAACCAAGGTAAGTTAAGCTAGTAACTTTCATGAACAGTGTTGGAGTGAGTGAGTGAATAAGCATGGCTTTACGTCGCTTTTAACAAGATTCCAGCAATATCATGGCAGGGGAATCGAACCAGTCTTCAGCATGACGAATGAACACTTTAACTACTAGGCTATCCCACTGTCCCGTATAGGAATGAAGGGAGGTGAGGTGGATAAGGAACTGTATCCCTTATTGTACAGTGCACTCTGTCAAACTCGGACTCTGTCTTTCTCGGATTGCTGTATAAACAGGACTGAACTCACGGTCCCGACGTAATCCTTCTTTGTTGTCATAATAAAAAAGTTCTGTATCTCGGACTCTCATTATTTCGGATTTCGGACCAAAGTGTCGGCCCGATAAGGTAGTTACATGTAAAAACATTGCTATATAATTCGGACTGAGCAGGAAGTCCGCTTGGCCAATAAACCTTGAATAAACATTCCATTGATTCGTTTGTGTATTTTGTCTTATTTACTTAGCAGACCTATGACCTGTGACAAAAATGCTTCATGTATATATTTTGGCATTAAACATCGTGTGTCCAGTGTGAAGATTGAGGCGGCGAGAGCCGAGATGTCACTTGTCACTTACATTACATGATCGCACAAAAAGATGGAAATAGTAATTTTATATGTACGTTTGACAACTTTTATGATTGTTTCTGTTGATTTTATTCATTAGTATATTCAATTTATTTAATGAATTCCTCGAAACATCGTTACTTTGCTCTTTGACAATGTTATTGTGGACCCGCTGCCTAAGCAGGTGTCCGAGAATCGTTGTTTTCAATAACATTGCGAAAAATAGTTTATAATTTTAATTCTGCTGATAATATATGATAAATTGAAATTTAATAAGTGTTTTCAGACATTGTGAAATGTGATAGAATCTGTATACTTTGGACTACTGTATAATTCGGACTGTTTAGTCGGTCCCAAGCTGGTCCGAATTAGACAGAGTGCACTGTACTTGTTACCCAATATTCACGATATGCATCATATTCACGTCATAGTGGATTTGTTGCAGCCCTACCATATACATGAAGCAATTACTGAGCAACACAAATATACTTTGTTTGATCAGATCTACCCATGACTGGTTAGTGAAAATTCAGTAAACTCTAAATTCAAGAAAAAATGTGTGGCCCTAGTTTAACCTAGGGCCCCCATTCCACAGAGGCTAATATGATCATAACTCACATACTTAATGATAGACACTATGATTGTTTTGTGGATATGGGGCACCTTTCACGGAGAACCTTTACTAAGGTTAACCTTAACTCTCATTCTTTAACATTGCATTAAGGTTAACTTAGTGACTTACGACCACCTCAGTGCTTTGTGAAAGAACCCCAGGGCTCTGGCCCCCAATGGTGACATACTAGACTTGCACAAGTCACTTAGCTAATAATTTATTGGTTAAATGATAATTTCTAAAAAACATAAATATCCCTATAACAGACTGGCATCCTTAGATTGTACTGTCAGCTTATCTAGACTTGACTCTTTAACAGATAGAATTACTATACATCCATGGGCTTAGCCTTCAGTACAGCCTTGGAGCAAGGCTAGGGACATACTTGCAGCTTTAGACGTGGGTTGCAGATAGGCTGTGGTGCCATCTTCCAACTGTATGGGCTGACTCTCCACCATCTTCTCTCCCGTCGAAGGGTCCACACCACCCACTATTACACAGATACATACTTCAGCCTGGCGGCAACATTTCATACAATACTTAACATTCAATCAGTGATGGTTTAACATTGTAGTCAGTCTGCTATCCTTTACCACTGCATCAACTGACTGTAACAGGAGATAATCAATTATGGTTGTTTTTATCATATAAAATAATGTATCCTAAATATCCAACCATATACTCAATTTATATACCCATCAATAAATAGTATGCAACAATTAGGCTTTTGTCATTTAAGAAAAAACATGATTAAACAAGACATAATTAACAATGAAAACAAGACAAATTGGACTAATTTTACATAAATTACAAAAAAAATAAAAATAACAATATCACTCATTTATGAGTTAGAATTAATGTAATGATAAAAAATTATCCTTACCAAATCTCACTAACTTATACATCTAAATAAAGATATAAAACCATTGCTGCATACCATAAACAGATTGTATTTCAAAGATGCCAATGAGACTAAGAGTTTCCTCCCTTTGAATATCATGTATTTGAAGTTTGACACGAGCATCTTTATTAGCTCCATATACATACACTCAATAATAGTGGTGTTCCGATTAATTGAAATAATCGAAGATTGGTCGCAGTGACCAAACGACCAAGCAATCGATCACAGTTTCTCATAATCGAACATAAACGATTTGGAAACTACTGTTTTAGTCTTTGAAAAACTTGACAATGGAACATATCTTAGAAGTTGTCAGGGCCTGAAAACGTGTTTAATTCTTAGAAAACTCACTTCACTAACTGAAAAGCCATGACTGAATATTTCTCTAAGACTCAAGGACTGACTGACTGAGTTTGGTTTTATGCCCGCTTTTAGCAATATTCCAGCAACATCACGGCAGGGAACACCAGAAATGGGCTTCACACATTGTACCCATGTGGGGATTCGAGCCCGGGTCTTCGGCGTGACGAGCCAACGCTTTAACCACTAGGCTACCCCACTGCCCCTCTAAGACTCAAGGAAGTTTATGTTCATGATATATTAGTCATCACTTTAAAGAAGCAAGTTGCATCATGTTATACATATCTGCAATAACAACCTGGATAGGAAAATCTGAAAAATGACGCTAACCAATTTTTTTCGATGATTGTTCGTTGGTAATGAAGCAATCATCATCAATTGTGAGATTTCAACCAATTCCCAACACTACTCAATAAGATGCTATTGTCTACCTGTAAGTATCTACAGGATCTCATCCAAGTGTTTATCCATGTGAAATATATCAACATGAGTCAATGAAAGTTGAAAACTGATGTTTGTTGAGAGGTTTTAACCTTACATCATCAGGTGTTGATGTATTTCGTATCAAAAGACTGACTGACTGACTGAGTATGGTTTTACGCCGTTTTTAGCAATATTCCAGCAATATCACGGCGGTGGACACCAGAAATGGGCTTCACAAATTGTACCCATGTGGGTATCAAAAGACATGCGGTAGATATTCTATGTAGCATTTAACCTGCTTCCAACTTTTTTAGTTTTTAAACAGTAATAATCAGTCCCTCGAATGTAAAAAGTATTGCTAACTATTACAGAGAGATTAATGAAGTTATCTGATTATGACATGTTAACCAATTATGTCACAATGGTCTGCAAAGCATCACCGCTTTAACTCCTGTGGAGGTCAGTTTGGGATGACAAAGAGCAGCCATCTATATTTAGCTGTCAGGCTCACCTTTCTCTGCAATGCCCTGCACAACGGCTGTGCTTCCATCTTCCAAGGTGACTGTTTGCCCCTCCAGAAACTTAGCATCTGATGTGAGAATCAGAACAATTACTCCAGTATTCAAAAGATTTTCAACGAAGATTTGAAACCTGGATAAAAAAGGTTGTTTTGTAATGGTGTCTCAAGGCCCTAATAAAGATGTTTAGGTGGTTTTTGTTTGAATAAAACAGTACAAACTAGAATACTTATTTTGATTCACGATGGAAACCTACCTCTTGGATGCTGTATAAATGCTGTGGTCCCATCAGCTAGCGTGACAGCTTGGACCGTCTGCCCCGCCTCTGTCGCGACAACAGTGCCCTCTGGTAGTGAAACCGACACACTGATCTGCTGAGCATTGTTGGGGTCATTTACCATGTTTTCTGCTTGCTGTCACATAGAAACAATAAAAGAAATTCACACGACCTTTCAAAGAAAATACACACTTCCACTAGCTACATGGCTGGTAAGATGTTTCATACAAAAAAAAGGTACTTTATTTCATTCTTGTAACATGAATATACATAGAAACCCCATAATTCAATAGTTCTTTTAGTCTGACAGAAACCTCATCCAGAGCTGGAACAAGAGTGGAAGTCTTGCCATAACCCTAATGTTAAGAGCTGAACATGTAGGGTATGTCTATTGATAACCTATAGCAGCAAACTGAAAGGATTCCAGGACCGTTCTTAATCGTCTCAATGCTGCTGTCGAACCCATTCCACAGGAGAGCAGCATAATGACATCCCCAAATAAACTTTGCAATAAGTATTCAACAAGTCGGATTTACACGTCATTTGAATTATGAATGGAATGCAGTAATTTCAGCTTTCTAAATATATAATCTTTAATTAGTTTATTGCCAGTAAGTACCCTGGAAATTAATTGTTGGATGTCCCGTAGTTTGGTAGATAAAGGTAAGACCCTGCACTTACCATTTTAATTTTAATATAAAAAATGTCTGGGCAATGGCTCAAACCATAGTCTTGCCCTCCATGCAAAGAAAACAAACAAAAGTTGAGATACTCAATCAACATATCAACGTTGTACATAACATTGTTAGAGTTGCCTCCCTTGGTGCATTCACTAGCAAATGTGGTCTTTTGTAAAAGGGACAGTGTTCCGAACATAAGATCTGCATATTTCACATAACATCCTGAACACCCACCTCATTGGCTTGAAGCAGCAAGCCTATTACTTGTTGTGAGGACACTGGTATGGCATTGGCAAGCTCACTCGCTGTAGGATCCATCATAGAGACAGAGGCTGTATGTTCCGTCTCATTTTCCGCCACTTCACTGGAGTGCTCATCAATATCGGCCACAACAATGCTCTCATCCACCCCTTCCATGGTGTGCACAGGGTCACACGACTCCTCGCCACCTTGTCCAATACCATCTGTTTCCGACGGCAACGGTGACATGTGATCTGATTCAACCTCAGGTAGATCAGACTCCAGGTCTTCTATCTCCATTGCTTAGACCTACAACTACACAGGGAAAACAGAATAAATCCAAAATTCCCAGACCCAAACTTACAATTTTCTTCTAATTCCAGAAGTGCTTAATAAAGAAATAACTACGTTTCACACAAGCAGAATTATTTCCTGTGTACTAGTGGTGGTCCGATTAATTGAATTAATTGAAGATTGGTCGCAATGACTAAACGACCAAGCAATCAAACATGTTTTCTCATAATCGAACACAAACAATTTTCGATTACTTGTTGCATTAACAACATGTTTCACAAGGCTGGTTTTGTCTGTTACATTCATAAGCACTACAAGCTCGTTCCTTGTCATGATTGAATTTATCTTAAAGAAAGATAAGAGGAAATTTATGTTCCTAACATACTAGTCATCAATGTATGAAATAAGCCAAAAATCCAGCCCGACATAAGGGCTGGTAACTGAAAAATGTTGCCAGCCCAAAATGGATTTAACCAGACCAAACATGGTGAATTTACTCAGGTGTATGGAACATCTAAAAATTTAGCCAGACTATCGGGCTGACTAGCTGTAAATTTGGATCGTCTCGGGCTGTCGGACAGGCCTTACTTCATATACTGTAGTCATCCTTTAAGATGTGAAATTTGTAAATGCATTTTGTGCAATTTGAAAATGGCAAACCCGAAAGAAACTACATGCCTTTTTCTATATTTTTTTGTGCATTAACAAACATAACCAGGAGAATTTGATAAATGACGCTAACCAATTATTTTAATGACTGATCAGTTGTAATGAACCAATCATAAATTGTGAAATTTTAACCAATTCCCAACACTAGTGTGTACTGTGATATCTAGTTTAAATGGTTTTAATCAAATCTGTCTTTTCTGAAATCTGTAATCTTGCATAGATGCAGCAAATGTGAACCTATTCCCAGTAGAGTACTCAAAGGAAATCAGAAAATTACCCAATTTTTTCAAATAACTATACAGTAGTTCATCTGTCATGTTGTTTTTGTTTGTTGTTTAACTCCGCACTCAGCAATATTCCAGCCATGTGGTGGTGGTCTGTTGCAAATAATCGAGTCTGGTCCAGACAATCCAGTGATCAACAACATAAGCATCGATCTATGCAACTGGTAATCTGTCATGTAAGTATTGTAAGACAAAACCTTAGGGTGGCAGGTGTTCTTTACTTATTGTGGGTAGTATGTATAGCATGGTTCTTCAAAACAAAGTTTTCTTTCCTTGTGGAATTAGTTTTTCAACTCTAAAAAGAACAGTTCATAGAATGTGTGAGATCGACAGTCAAGTTTTATCCTCTATTTCCTATGTGTGGGTATTTCAAGATGATATTTGCAGGGCTTCTAAACTACTTGACATTTTCCAGTTACAAAATAGTGACATCATTCCCAAGAAAACCATTCCACTATCAGTAAGACAAGACAAGACAAGACAAGACAAGACAAGACAAGACAAGACAAGACAAGACAAGACAAGACAAGACAAGACAAGACAAGACAAGACAAGACAAGACAAGACAAGACAAGACAAGACAAGACAAGACAAGACAGACAGACAGACAGACAAGACAGACAGACAGACAGACAGACAGACAGACAGAGTGAGTGAGTGAGTGAGTTGGGTTTTATGCCGTTTTTAGCAATATTCCAGCAATATCACGGCGGGGGACACCAGAAATGGGCTTCACACATAGCACCCATGTGGGGAATCGAACCCGGGTTTTTCGGCATGATGAGCGAACGCTTTAATAACTCGGCTACCCAACCGCCCCAACAAAACTAAGAGTTATCCCAGTTGATGAGAGACAAGAAATCCTTCACACTAGGACTGTTACGATTCACCTACATATTCAGTGGGAGTTTAGTTTTACGCTGCACTCAGCAATATTCCAGCTATATGCCGGCGGTTTGTAAATTATTCAAGTCTGGACCAGACAATCCAGTGATCAAGAGCATGAGCATCAATCCATGCAATCGGGATACGACAGGTATCAGCGAGCCTGACCCCACCCGATCCCTTTAGTCGACTCTTACGACAAGCATGGGTTACTGAAGATCATTTCTTCATGGGTTATTCAGTAAGACGGTGTATTGGCAATTTGACTGTAATGCAATATATTGCGATTCAGGTACCTGTATTGTGATATATTGGGAACTTAGTTGTTGGACAGTAGATGATGGTAATTGTGCATTTAGATCCAATTTTCTACATTATAAGTCTCTAAAATTATATGTTATGGTTCTGATAACAGCAACCTCAAACTTAAGTTGCACAGTCAGGGATTCTGTTTTTCTTTTTTTATAAATCTATAGTAGTACAGTATGCCGTTTTGTCATTGAATAACAAAGTAAAACATCTGTTGTAAATGAAAGTCTGTGGAGATTACAATTTAAACCATAAAGATAAAGACAAAAACTTCATAAATGTTCTTTACCAAATATACATGTTATCAGAAAAAATATGATAATATGTATCATTTGAAAAGCGTATTGCGGTACACTGGTGATACGGTGCAGTCCTAATATTCAGTGCACTGAACCTAATTCCTTCATGAATTCAAAATGGGGCAGTGGGGTAGTCTAGTGGCTAAGGCGTTGCTCGTCACGCCAAAGACCCTGATTCGATTTCTCACATGGGCACAATGTGTGAAGCCCAGTTTCTGGTGTCCCCCGCCATGATATGGCTAAGGAATATTGCTAAAAGAGGCATAAAACCATACCAACTCACTCATGATTTCAATTTGTTGTCCATGATCACTAGAATCGAATACTCAGAAAGTTTAAAAATTTATGTTTTTATCTTGAATTTGTTTATCAAAGCAGACCTGTGAAGGTCCATGTTAGAATATTGGCCTTCAGTAACCCATGCTTGTCGTAAGAGGCAACTAACGGGATTGGGTGGTCAGGTTCGCTGACTTGGTTGACACGTCATCGGTTCCCAATTGCGCAGATCGATGCTAATGCTGTTGATCACTGGATCGCTGGTCCAGACTCGATTATTTACAGACCGCCTCCATATAGCTGGAATATTGCTGAGTGCGGCGTAAAACTAAACTCACTCACTATTTATCAAAGCAAGATGTGGAACAGATCGAAGCCAGGTAGTGTTATAGTCAATACTGTTATATAGTTCATATGACTCTAATGGGGTCACTGGCCATTGTCATGACAACTGAACACTGTCATATGATATATTTTGTTTATCTGACTGAATGTAATAAATAAAACATAAATTGGTGACATGTTGTGAAAAATATTTCCGTATATTAGTGACATGAATTGGATTCACTTCATAGTGGATTCATTGCAGCCTTACTTAAATCTCAGTAACCATGTCGAACATCAAACCCATGTCTTCAATGAGTGAGTTTTATGCCGTTTTTAGAAATAGTCTATCAATATCCAACAGGAGACACCAGAAAGGGGCTTCACACATTGTACCCATGTTGGGAATCAAACCCAGGTCTTCAGTGTGACAAGTGAACGCCTTAACCACTAGGCTACCCCACCACCCCCATGTATTCAGTGTGATGAGCCAACAGGTTTACCCATTAAGCAACTTTGTCGCAAATATTCAATCAATTTTAGTCCTTCGTCTGTGCTGATACGAAACTAGGGTGTATAAAATAACCCTGTTACTTCGTGCGGTGGGGTAGCCTAGTGGTTAAAGCATTCGCTCATCTTACCTAAAACCATGGTTTGTTTCCCCACATGGTTACAATGTAGGAACTCCATTTCTGGTGTCTTCTGCCATGATATTGCAGGAATATTGTTAAAAGTGGCATAAAACCATACCAGTCCAAAAAAGTGAACAGTCCTGAACAAACACAGCCAGTCCCAAAAACTAAAACAATAAAGAAAAATCAACCAATGTTGAAACAAAAAAGAGAAAGAAAATCAATTTCAACACAAAGTTCAAACCAAGTTAAGTTGATTTTTCAAATATTTCCCCTGACCAAAGGACGGCCTTACTTATTTAATAGACTGTCCACAAAAAATACACCGTCAAGGGCAGTGGGACGGGCCATATTTTATACACAGAACCATACTGACATCCTCCCCGCCAGAACGACGGTGCAGCCTCTAGTGCTGCCATTCACCACAGGATATTGAAGTTTGTTCATAAGATTATAAGACAGATGTTCTGATCTCTCATCTGAACTGAAAAGACTTGAAGCCTTGACTCAAAAAGATTCATTATAAATTTTATGAGACAAATCCTTCTAGGATGCGTTGTCAGTTCTTCACACAGCAAGAAATCATACAAGAGTATTAGACATTTTAGTGAGATAATCTAAATAAGAAAAAAAATCAGAACTTAACAAGAAGACAAAAAACATGAATTCTGTATGGGATTTTTTGGGTAAAATTAGAAAGACCAAATGTGGTTGTCAAAATGATTGGTTGGTTGGTTTGTTATGTAACACCACATTCAGCAATATTACAGCTATGTGGCGGCAGGCTGTAAATAATCAAGTCTGGACCAGAAAATCCAGTGATCAACATCATGAGCATCGATCTACACAATTGGGATACAATGACATGCGTCAAGTCAGCGAGTCTGACCACCCAACATTGTTGGTCGCCTCTTACGACATATTGTTGCGAAAACTTACTTATCCCATATTTTTTTTATAATCAGCAGATATTAGATAAATATACTCCCCAGGGAGTTGAGATTGATAATACGATGTGCCGTAGAGATTGACATCCAATGATCGAGGGAAAAATACCAGCGCCTTGAGCATGCACCAGTTGCGTGGATATGTGCGCTATATATAAATATACTATAATAATAATAATAATAATAAATGATTATCAATTTCGATGATCTAGATCGATAGCTAGCCCTATATGACTGATTGTCTATTAATTTGTTTCGTACTGTTAACAACTGTTTGCCTGGTCCAGACCAAATTTTATGTGGTTTGCCATTCAGGTTAAATATTGCTGACGCAAAACAAGATTCTCCCTTCCATCATTTTGTTTACCCCACACAGTGTAGCACCAGTGATGCATT